TCCCGGGGCCCCCCCCCCCCTCCCGGGGGTCCCCCCCCTCCTCCTGGTTATCCCAGCCCCTCTCCCGGTGATCCCAGCCCCTGTCCCGGTGATCCCACCCCTGTCCCGGTTATCCCACCCCTGTCCCGGTGATCCCACCCCTACTCCTGGTTATCCCAGCCCCTCTCCCGGTGATCCCACCCCCGTCCCGGTGCTCCCAGCCCTCTCCCGGTGCTCCCAGCCTCTCTCCCGGTGCTCCCACCCCCGTCCCGGTGCCGCCGTGCCCAGGATACATCCTGCACCACTCTCTGCGTGGCCGTGTTGGGTGACTGCGAGTCCTTGAGCAGCTGCAGCACCTGCTGCAGGCCCTGCTCGTCCGGCTGCCAGTCCATGGCCCGCCCGGGGGTCCGGGGGGGCCCGGGGGGGCTCCCGGAGGCGGCGGCCGGGGGGGTGCAGACCCCGGATGGCTGCGGGGAGAGTGACATTGGGGAGGGGGGTCCTGCCGGGATGGGCTTGGGGGGTCCCCAGGGTCCTCTGGGATCTCCCCCGCGGTCCTATGGGGTTCCCCCTGGTCCTTTGGGGTCCCCTCGGGTCCTCTGGGATGCCCCCCTGGGGTCTTTTGGGGTTCCCCTGGGTCCTTTGCGGTCCCTGCAGCTCCTTTGGGGTCCCCCCCTGGGTCCTTCGGGGTCCCCCAGGCTCCTTCGGGGTCCCCCCTGGGTCCTTTGGGGTTCCCCCGGGTCCTTTGGGGTCCCCCCTTGGGTCCTTTGGGATTCCCCTGAGTTCTCTGGGGTCCCCCCAGCTCCTTTGGGGTGCCCCAGGCTCCTTTGGGGTCCCCCCTGGGTCCTTTGGGGTCCCCCCTGGTCCTCTGGGTTCCCCCCCTGGGGTCCTTTGGGGTCCCCCCCTGGGTCCTTTGGGGTCCCCCCCTGGGTCCTTTGGGGGTCCCCCGGGTCCTTTGGGGGTCCCCTGGGCTCTTTGGGACCCCCCCTGGATCCCCTCGGGTACTTTGGGGTCCCCCCTGGGTCCTTTGGGATCCCCCTCGAGCTCTTTGGGGTCTCCCCCCGGGTCTTTTGGGGGTCCCCCCGGGCTCTTTGCGATCCCCCCTGGATCCTTTGGGGTCTCCCCGGGTTCTCTGGGGTCCCCCCCGGATCCTTTGGGATCCCCCCCGGGTTCTCTGGGGTCCCCCCCGGACCCTTTGGGGTCCCCCGGGCCGGGCTCGGTGCCGGTTTTGGGGGCTCGGGGCGGGACCCGCGCTCCGCGCACGTGGGGCCGGGACCGGGAATGGCGGGAGAACCGGGACTGGGGGGGAGGGGAAAGCATCCGGTGTTCCCCCCCCCTCCCCC